AGCCTCCTTCTTTTTCTGAGTTGGAGTCTCACTTTGTTGCCCAGGCTAGAGGGCAGTGGCAGCCTCCACCTGCTAGGATCAGGTAATTCTTCCACCTCAGCCTTCCAAGTAGCAGGAACCACAGGTATGTGCCATGATGCCCAGCTAATTTTTTTATTTATTATAGAGAAGAGGTCTCGCCAAGCTGCCCAGGCCGGACTTGAACCCCTGGGCTCAGGCAATCCTCTTGCCTCCACCTCCCAAAGTGTTGGGATTACAGGCGTGAGCCACGATGTCCAGTTTATTTTCCCCTTCTTAATGCCAGTAATAATTGCTCTTTCCTGAGACTGTTTTGATCATTTAGTTCTATTTTAAATACAGTATAAACATAAATCATATCCATATTTTAGTTTCTATTCTAAAAATGAATTATTAAATTCATATACACTGAAAGGTTCACATTAACTTTATTGTAGTATCTTCAAAGAAAGCCTGTTGTGCTTTATTCTTATATTTGTATAGTCTGTTGCAACAAAAAATATAGCTGATATGGTGTAGTTGGATTTCTTTCAATTTTTTACAAAGATATTTTATTATTTTTTGTGCCATGAGGGAAAATAGAAGCTGAATTCTAGTAATAATAGTTATTAACTATTAATTATTGTTTGGATTGCTCTATTATTTTTGATTTACTGTAGAGACGAGTTCTCACCAAGTTGCCTAGGCTGGTCTCGACCTCCTGGGCTCAAGGCAATCCTTTTGCCTCCACCTCCCCAAGTGCTGGGATTACAGGTGTGAGCCACTGTGCCTGGCTCTTTATTTTTGAAATATTTTGACTTTTCCAACTTGAGGCCGGCAGAGTGAATATGGGTGTCTGTCTCTCGGTTTCAGGAATCCGGTTCCATTTTCCTTTGGGGTAGTGCTGAGTGCATCAGCAGGATCTCTCCCTAACCTAACTAATCTAACCCTAATCTAACTAATCTCCCTAACCTAACTAATCTAACCCTAATCCTAACCCTAACGTTCTTGGGAGATGCGAGTTTGCGTTGCATTTAAGTGCTCTCGGAGCCTGGGAGGGAGAGAGGCCAGGCTTAGGGGAGCTGTGCTGCATGGGTTTCCAGGTAGGGGGTATCTGGACAAGGCTTCATAAGTCATGGGGCAGCCGGGGTGACCTGGCCAGACTCTAAGCGCTTGGAAGCACCTCGAGAGAGGCAACTAGGCCAAGCCCAAGAGGGAGGCCTTGACTTGGTCTTGCAAAAAAAAAAAAAAGAGAGAGAGAGATTTTTGGTTGTAAACTATAGAAACCTACTAGAGCTAACTTCCACAACAACAACAAAAGGGCAGTATATTGTATGGTGACCCAAATGCTTTTTTTTTTTTTTTTTTTTGAGTTGG